CATCCGTCGACCGTAAACAAACATCAGCAGGACGCGCTAAGTTGCTATTATCTTCCGTTTCAATATCATAATGCTCCATAGAACTAGATATAGTAGCCTGCAGACATCCTGATTGCTCAGCAACATGAAGTGCTGTGTCACTATTTACACTTGTTGTCCTAGAATCAACTCTAGGTCCTGTTAAATAATTTACCCTACGTGAAGGTTTCCGAACCTAAGCTTTATTCCATCCAGCCAATCCTGTTTTGTCCTTATTCATATTTACTGAACTCACTAACCTCTGTTTGCTCAAATCCAAATAACCGTTCCTTGCTTTGCGAGCAGTTAAGAGGCTTTTACCATCACACACCTTGGATCCATCTTGATGCCTACCCTTTTCGCCTTTTTCTTTCTTTTCCATACTCAAAAAAGCAATCTTATCTGCTAAACAAACCGGCTTCTCTCTAGGATATACATCAAGGGGTTTTAAACTATCGGGGTCACATACACGTTTTTCAAAAGGGGATACCTTTCTGATACAATTAACAACTCTCTTAAATTCCGGGTGTGAGGTAGGTGTGAACGCATTTGAAGAATCCTCATGTCTCACCCACATATGACTAGTCAATTCTGTATAGTTTTCCATGACCTTACATTCTAATTCGGCCATTTCAACCTCCTCTTGAAGTTCTAACATTTTAAGCTGTCCTTCTAACTCAAGTATCTTTTCCAAATTCTTCTTCCTTAGTAATGCCCTTTCTAACCTCAATCTAGAAGTACTAAACTGACATGAAGACTTACTGTTAATACTAATATCATCACGTTTATCATCATTAAAGTAAGACATACCACAAACAGCTTTAGAAATTTTACCATCCATTTCGTCATTCTCCTTCGGCTTTCTGATTCTGGTTTCCATTGTTTGCTTTTGTTCGAAATCGAGTACCAAGCAAATGTAAATTAATGCAAACGTATTCGACCAATAATAACAAAATTTTGATGCAAAATATCTTGGAGCCGAAATGTCTCGAGCTATCCAATGTACGACAAAAGAATCAAAGTTGAAGTACCTTTGGACCCAAATGTCCAAAAGTATCCAGTGTATGACCAAGGAAACAAAATTGAAGAACTTCTGGACCCAAAACGTCCAAAAGAATGCAATATATGACAAAATTAAAATAGAAGAACTTTTGTTACGTCCAATCTTTTGCTCCTTGATCCTTAGAAGCACTGTGTGTCGATCTATTTGCAATTCACGAAGCCAAAGATTATATCAAAACGAAACTCCAAAGTAGGTACCAAAGTTTATTGCCAATTCACAAACAATCGACCAAAATGTTGTTTGTTTATTACAAGTAGACGACTAATATCGTTCTAACAACAATAATTATAATAATTACAATTACCTTCTATTTTATAGATTCCTGGAGCAAAAAACTGCAAACGAACAAACCAAGACAAACAGGAGTCCAAAATGGCCGAAAATAATAATTCAAACAAGTTCATAAGTTGAGTAAAATTAAAATACACCCAAAAAACACAGTGAAATTAATAATATTTATATAAAGGTTTTGATCAGCAAAATGTCTTCATTTCTCCCGTAACAGTCAGCACATATACGTATCGTGCCGTTGGCCTTCTTGATAACGACTATATAGACGGGAGTAAAACTCATTGTCGTTGAAGGCGATCCAACTCTTCGTCTACTGTTGCTAATGTTACATAAGTTTCGGGTATCTTTGGACGGAAATCAGGCTTAGCCCCGGGTTTCAACCGAAGTGTTGCTTTCATGGCAGTGCAACGATTTAATCCAGGTTGAATAATGGTTGAAAACTGCGTCATTAGATTCCTCGTATATGATTCAGGGTCATGTGGTTGTGATACCAGACGGCATATAGTATTTAACGGGACATCAGCCAATTCTAGCTGGTCGAACCAATCTAAACCAAGTAAATTTAGATCAGCTGGCGTTATATAACATACCCCAGTAAACGACGAGTCTCGGAAGGCAACTTTACATTCCAATTGTCGTAACAGACGAAAGTAATTACCACATGCTGTACGAGGCTTCTGTGTTGTGTGCAGAAAGCTTGGGCTACCCAATATGGTCCCATTTTTGCGTGAGAGGATGGTGACATCAGATGCGGTATCTATTTGCAATTTACAAAAATGCCCGTTAGTATTAAGAGTAATAAATTTTCTCTCATCTGGTGATGAGCTTTGACAAGAAGATATTAGGCTCAATGAATTGGTACGGGATCTAGTAACAGACTTCTTGGCACTTCTGGATAGGTTTGGCTTTCTCTTTAGGCAAAAACCATCTTTATGACCGATGACCTTACACTTCCTGCTAAATGGACAGTTCCGTACATAGTGCTTTAGTGAGCGAGTCAAGATACCAGATTGACTATGCTCACGAATAAATGTTCCATAATATCCCGCCATCATTAAAATCTTCAACACAAAGAAATTACAATGCAATCATTTTCTGTTTTGTCGATAATAGTGTATATGCGTTGTTTCAAAGTCTGCAAGCAGTCTCGTAGTTCATATTTATGCGGTATTTTACGAGCGAGAGAACACTTTTTGACTTATAGAGAAGAATAAGGTTGCTTTTCAACCGACGGCGTGACAGAGTTTCTGTGTATTAGAGGTTATGGCCCAATACGAGCATATCCGGAATTTTTAAATTTGTCAAAATTCATCACTGTTGAATCCAAACCGAGGTCTAGATTTAGTAATAACTATTCAGGAAGTTTAGGTACGCGTCTGGCCCGGTTGAAATTTAAAAAGCAATTGATCTGGATAAGTAATGGTTCTATTATTATTCATAAATATAAATACATATCATTGCCTAAACAATATTACAACTGTTATCCCTTCTATAATAACACAGAGTGTTTCCAGTTCTGGAAGAAATCTCCAATTTCCTATCCAAATTGCACACTTCCAGTCCGTTTCAGTGAGCCGACCGCCGAAGGGAAAAAATCAATAGACATAATTAAGTACCAACTAAAATAACATAATGCAGTTCGGAAAGAAACATAAGAACTCAAAAAGGCACAAAAATAGAAACTATAAAAATACAAATATTAACATCGCAAAACGGACCTGAAGAGATCACCAAAATGTAGAACAGAAAGAGTCAATAAGAAACTATTACAAATGTGCACATGGAGCGATTTTCTCAAATAATAATAAAGGAGGAAATTCAGACTCGTTAATCGTTAGAAATATTGTCTCCTCTGTAGTTATCAACAGGGTATTCCATGAAAGTAGAACGCGCAAGTTGGTTAGTTGAAGTGCGAACTCAAACAATTTTGTGGTCAACTTTTCGAAGTGAGAGTTGGGTGATCAAACCATAGCATGTGGTTTTCTTAGGAGGATATTGCTCGAGTCTTTGACCCTGAAGTCTAATCCACAAGGCAATAGAGCAACATAAGTAATAAAAATATTTTATTCCAGTGAGTATAAAATAAAATGTTTTAAGTTTTCTGAATTGTTGTGGATTATTTCTTCAGAGAATAAGTAAATAATCAAATTAACACAGGTTTGAATAATACTAAAGTAACGAAGCAGAATATTTTTAGTACAGTCCAAATCAAAATACGTCCGGTCTTGTTAACGTAATGTTATTTCGGTCAAGGTCATTCTGTATGATACCTACGTGTATGTATTTATGTGTTAGTGGGTGTAGAAAAATGTGATATTTGTATTATAGAAGAATAAGTTCTAAAATATTTGAATGTTTGTTAGTGATGTGAGGTATGAAGAGAAGTGAATATGTAGGTATTTAGGTAAATAAACCGTCAGTCCTTTTGTATTGAACGTGGCTGTGAATTTACAGAGCATCTACTTCTAAATGATTAGTACCTGGGTGAGTGCCGCCTATAAGTCTATATTTGTTCCGGACATTTTATTTCAAGCGCAAACCCCCACTTTACTTTTCTCATCCGACAAGTTGAAATGAGCTTAAGTGGTGTGTTCACCAAAGGCATTGAAGTAGCTAAAGATGACTGAAATGAAATCCGTAGTGAAAATTGCACTCTTCAATGTAGCACTGACACATAAGACGAACGGAACCATGCTCAAAAAATGCCGGTTGTTCCACCTTTATTGCACATATAAAAGAGAACGATCATCCTCACGCAAGAAGTTACTTACGCCAAGTCATAAAAGGTGTGAAATTTAATTTTCTATCCTATCCTAAGCGTGACGCAGTCCGAAATTTTATGAATTCATGTCTATTGTTTCACTCCTCAGTGATTAACTAGGAAGATGAAGCCAAGAATTTTCAATAATTGATGTTATCATTGAGTTCAGTTTGATAACCGCTTTCCTATGTGAGTCAGTCAGCTACAACGTAGAACTTTGTACGTACATACATCAATCCAAGTTGCCCTACCACATTTGCACAGGGCTACAGTGGAATAAATACAAAAAGAGATAAGAAAAGGTCATGAGAGAAGACAAACGTGGATGCAACTGCGCCATCGCAAACGATTTTTTGTCATGTCGTTCAAGTTCTCTAACCATCGATTATTATCGTCTTGCGTACTCCAACCAGGTAATCTACACGTACTAACGTGGCTCAGTTTACTTGTCAGTGACTTTATGGATTTGTGCCATGTTGTGGTCTGGCAGGCTATAGATTTCTTCCGACCTACTCCTACACCATAAAACAGCTCGACGAGGCAATCGGTGTCTAGGCATACGTAACACATGTTCATACCGCCCTAATTGATGAACCTTCAATGCTTCATCTATTGATTTGCCATCCTTACCTAGTAGTACCCTTTTCTTCACAGCTGCATTACTTACTCGATTGTCCCAGGATATACTGACGATGCTTCGAATACACCTATGATCGAAAACCAGTAAATGATTCATTATCTGGTGGTTGAGAATTTCCGAACAAATATATGTAAATTATTAGCAGATATGGATGGTAGGTAGTATTAGAATGCAGGGCGCGCGTTTCGTCCTACTTGTTTCGTGCATTATAGATTCTAAATATCGACATGGTTTGTTTTCTGTTTAGAAGTTAGCTGTCAGTACTTGTATTTATCAGGCTAATTGGCAATCCTAAATCAGTAAGATTCATCTAAAACCATTTCATTGTCATTCATTCACTCTATTAACAGTTGTATGTTTATTTATTTTATAATAGGAAGGTTCACTTAAAATTGTGGACCGTGTAAAAAGTATATTCAAGTTATCTCAAGGTGAATATATTGCACCTGAGAAAGTAGAAGCAGCTTATCAACGTTGCGGATTATTAAATCAAATATTTGTAGATGGTAGAAGTGAAAAAAATTTCCCAGTTGCTGTAGTTGTCCTAAATTCTACAGAAGTACGTTCCTCTCTAAGCGCTGGTAAGGTGCTGCAACATCAGAAATATTCGGACTCCGAACTTAACCAAAATGAAACGGTTAATAGTTTTGTTTTGAAGAAAATGAATGCTACGGTAACAGATCTGAAAGGTTTTGAAAAGGTTTGTAGCAAATGTTTTAAGAAACGTCGTTTTCATTTAACTATTCAATTCTATTCTTATTTATATTCTGTACCAGTCGATAAGTAAAATAGTAGTATTTATAATGTCTAACTGACCTCAGAAAATAGTTTAAACCATGAATGGTAGATTAGTTGATGAGATTGTGAATTTGTACTAGTCGAAATGAACCACTCATGCTAAATTTAAGCCTTATCAAAATGAGTATCATTGACCATTTTTGAATAAATAGATGGAGTCAAAACTTAATATTGATTTTTTCATTTGGTAATCGCATAATTGTCAACTTCCTTCGTTGGTCATGCAAAGGTTATATTGTTCAATGCTGTTTTTGTCAATTTGAAGTTTTTTGTTATAGTATATTTAAAATGGGAGAATATATCTGCTTTCAAGTGCTAACTAACCTTATAGAATTTATTATCGACTTTATATTGGATTCTCACACTTCTGTTAGTTGATTGAAGTTAATAATGTAAGTTAACGAAAGATAACTACTTAGTGATCAGTGCCAGACTTGGAAGTTGTGCGTCCGACTCCTGATTGGATCATGGATACTCACTGTTGGACAGTGCTACATTAGATAGAAATAATTATTCACTGCTTTCTGTTAACAATGTACAAAATTTAACAATCTCTATGAGCCTTCTTTTATTTTACCAGTTAGTTCTTTCGGATTGTTTTATACAGAAAATAATCTTTTCATTTGTTTTGTTACATCCATATTTTGATCAGCTTTTTCATTGATAATAAGACGTTGGACACCGTAGTTTGTAATTTTATTTTCTGGTTTAACTCACGTGATCAGAATAAGAATGCAAAGGTCAAAAATGCTTATATGGTCTTTGGCATATACATTAAACTCACACAAAATCTATGCATTTTCTTGTTAGTCAAAAAGAACAATAAAACTACATATATTTTTCATAATAACAGATGTTTTGTTTTATTTATTATTATTTAACTAACTAAGTTGTTTTCTCTTTTGTTTCTCCTTGACCTTCTTGACTACTTCACATTATTTTTTTATTAATGAGGTGATATTTTCATTGTAATATACTTTAGTTTTATTTATCTGAAGATTAAGTATAAAGTTGCACAAATAAAATGGCATGATTTATACATAACACTAAAAATATTTTTAAACAATCTAAGAATAAATTCTCATTTTTTTAGTAATTTATCATTATTTAACCCAGTTGGCTTTATTGTTGAAGTTTGTTGGCTGTTTATGATTGATAGCATTTCTAAGTAAATGTGAACTTTCTTTAAAATAGACGACGCTCCACTATGCAAAGCATCCATCCACTTGAACTACCAATGCCTTCTTCATCATTTCAAATTCCGAATTAAAATCATTTGTTAAACTGAAATGCTTGGCATTTTTCGCTACTGATTATTATACAAACAATTTATTGCAATCTATTTCTATAGTCTAAAATAATTATGTATCTTTGATTTCGATTTAAAAATTTTTTTTCCTACAGGTCCAGGCAATATATTTATCAGACGAGCCGTTTACAGTAGAAAATGGCCTAATGACTCCAACAATGAAAGTATCACGTAATAAAGCTCGTGTCCATTTCGCAAAAATAATAGATGACTTATACGCAAAGTATGAACTTAATTCTGCTTCAAGATAAACTTTGTGTTCATTTTCAACTTGCAATGATATGTATGTGTGAAGTATTCATTTGAGAGCGTTTTTTACAGTGTCATTTTTGATACTTATTCAACTTTGGTGATTTGTATAAATAAATGATTGGTTTTGTATTAATGACTTTCATTTTCAATTTTTCTATGTTTCAGTGCCTTAGGTTTGACGAAAAATTTGTAGGTGCATATTATTAAGAATTAATGATCAGTGAAATCTTTGTTAAAATTAAGACCGATTGTCTTTGTTAAACACGACGTCTTCATTAACTGATACCTCAGTCTAACAAACATTTTCACATTCAGTGAGTCAGTTACAAAGCAGAACTTCATACGTAAGTACCTCAGTTCAGGTTGCCATACCACATTAGCAGAGACGCAATTGTCAGTTCAAAGCCCATATTGGTAGAGATAGTATAAGTATTAGTGGTAATGGAGAAGATTATTATGATTATTATTATTATTATTATTATTATTCAAGAAGTATAGTTCAGTAAGATTAATGTAGAAGGCGAAAGATAGAGGTGATTGGGAATACAGAAGATTCGAATTTCAGAGAAGACAAAGAGTGGATGCACCTACGCCACTGCAGACAATTTCGAGCCATGTAGTTCGAGGTCTCTAACCATCGGTAACTATTATCTCGCGGACCCCAACCACGTAGTCTACATCTACAAACATGTCTCAGTCCACTTGTCAGTGACTTTATGTATTTGTTCAATGTTTTAGTTAGTCCACCCTTAGCATTCTTCCAACCTACTCCTACACCACAAAAGATTGCTCGACGAGGCAGTCGGTAGTTGAGTATACGTAACACATTTCCAAACCACCTCAACTGATGCAGTTTCAATACTTCATCTATTTACTTGCCACCCCTACATGGTACTCGTATCCTAACAACAGCGCTGCTTACTCAGTTGTCCCACGATGCTTCAAAGACATCTATAATCGGATACTAATGACCTGTGAATATTCTCAACTCTCACCGGTCATGTTTCACATCCATATACTAGGAAAGAGCGGACGGCTGCACAGTAGAATCGTCCTTTGGTTAGCAGACGTATATCTCGCCTACGCCATAAGTGGAGCAGGTTGACAAAAGCCGATCGGCCTTCTGTATCCGTCCTCACACACCAGCCCATCAGCCCTGAGGAGGCTCCCCAGATAAGTGAAACGGTCAACACGCTCAACTTCTTCCTTCCCTATCACTAGTTCAGGTGCCGACGCAACCCAATCTTGAAGCAACATTCTGCATTTCGAGGTGCACAGTCGCATCCGGAACATGCTTGCATTTTTGCTTAGGGTACTCAAGAGACGCCGCATTTTGTCAGCGTCTTCACCAAGTAGGACTATGGAGAATGATAAGGAAAAATTCTGATGGTAATGAGAGTTCAGAATTAAATAAGTTGGTAGTCGATGTTGTGTGCGAGGATGGAATAAGTTAGTGATTTAAGGAGAATACAATGATAATGACTAGTAAGCTTGAAGGCATACATCAGGCAAAGCTGTTACAAGCAGGGAAGGCGAGTTTGTCAAGTCTCTTCTTGAAACTATCCCTTGAGGGGATGCAGTCACTCAGGCTGGGACAGCATCACAAGTTGCTTCGACTCGTGACGAGAAAAAGTAGGTAAGTGCCAGGGTGTTCACCTCTTGATGTGCAAACGTTTGAGGGTTATCCTGAGAGACGTGGTGATGATGCATTGACATGATCCTAATGTTGGGATAATTCGGTGTACTTAATATTTTGTATACCAGTATTAGATCACCTGTGATTCTCCTATAGTTCAGAGGGAACAATGTCGAGTGTTTGTGTCTGTCTTCGTAAGGTTTGTTTTATAACATCACCACTCATTTAGTTGCTCTTCTCTGGACTCGACCCAGGAGATTTATGTCTCTTTTAAGGAGAGCGTGTGTGACGACGTTGTGAACTCCAAAGTGTGTGCGTGTGTATGTTTTAAATGGAATTAAGGACAATCCTGGTGTGATTGCACTAATTTGTCTCCACATAAAGTGGAGGGCTGAGTTAGCCTCGTCTGCATTCCCTATTTAGTTCGAAGTTGTGTCCAGGCTTTCCATGGTTATTGGACCAAGAACCTATCACTGACGAGATATTTGGAGGCGAACTCCCAATAAAGCCGTGAATCTTTCTTGTGGCAGAATGTTCATGATGTGAAATTTAGACTGATTACGTTTTAACATGTTGTCCACTGACCACTCATCGACTGCGATAAGGTCCTTTTGAAGCTCATTTGAATCCGCTTGGCTTTTTATCACCCACAGATCTTTGCATCGTCTGCGCAGATCAGTGCCACTGAGCTTATTTTATCTGACAGATAACCTTAATGTCCGAACGGTTCAGGGGATTGAGGACAGATTGGTGGAATCATTCGCTTAACGGGCGTCCATAACTTGTAGCCATGTATAGTCAATGTTTGCAGCTAGGAACGTAGGTATATTAGACAAGCGAGAGAGAGATATTAATTAACGAATATGAAAAGCTTTCTGGTGTCCTTAAAAATGTGTCAATTTTCCTCTTGAAGGACTCCTGGGAATTCGCTCGGACTACCTCAGCAGATATACAGTTCCGGGATCCAACCACTTGTATTGAACGTGTGCCTACGGTCCAGTTCGCCACATTGTGACCACGAGTCCTGGCCACCTCTTATACGATTTGTATTGGAACCGAGCTTAAGTATTTTAGACGATAACTAGTAATGTTTCCGACACCATGATTTATTATGAGATCAACTGTAAGACGCTTATACTTTGAATAGTAAAGATCCAATGATTAAGTGAGCATCTGTAAGGTTTAAATTAGAATCAGGAAACTGAATGTTTGACTCAAGCTTAGACATATTCTAATGTATTGGCATCCTTTTCGGATAAAATGGGAAAAAATACAACATCATACTCTGAATGAAGTCTTATAAAAGGTTAAATTTCAGGTAGAACGTTCTGGTGCCAAACTGGCCAAGAATACTTTAAACTTCGAAGGGTCAAAATTGAGTTTGTTATTATCCGCCCAATTCTGAAGATTCTCTTTAAGTGCCGGCTTATCATCTTGGTTGGGATATTCATTGTAAGGCTTGAAATAGTCAGTTAATTGCAATAAATATGATGGCTCTTGGTGAGGAAGGTCATTTGCATCGACTGAAATGAGAATAGGAGCCGTTACTAAAATGTGGATGACCCATTATGACATTCTGTGGCATGAGAAAAAGCGAAATATACTATAACGTTGAAAAGTCGACTGTCCAGTCATGAAGGAAACTCGTTCATTAACAGTGCGTTTATACCAAACACTTAGATGTGAGCAGTGTGACGGCCGCAACCATATTTTATGTTCCTCGCTCAGCTTTGAATAGCCCTTTCGTTATTTAACTGTGGCCAGGACTAATCTCAGACACTTTATTTAGCAGGTGTAAGTTGGCATCATGTTGAACCAAACTGAAGGTTGCGTTATCGGTCGATTGATTGATACAATAGTTGGCGCGGGTTACGTTGATTGCGTTGCGACGAACCTCTGCTAGTTGCGAATCAGTGTATGTTAAGTCCAGGTCTGCATATTACAAGAATTGATGAGGTAAATTTGCAATGACCTTGTTGAGATTAACCAGATAATAATTTAATAGGCACTTGTAAGATCACGAATGAGCAAATAATCCTATGAATAGAGGAAATTCAAAGGAACTAAATTGTTGGAAATTGTGTTGATTTACAGAACATAATAAGGAAGGCACAGTGATTTGATCCTTTTGCGATATTTCGTTTACACTTTCCTTCTTTAGTACCATTGCTTAAGAACTCGCAAGTTACTCCTTCTCAACATAACTGTACAGATCAGCTCGAAATAGGATTTCTTGGTAGGAATTGAAACCAGTACAAGGTTACAGACATGAGTAGTAGACGAGATGGACATGGAATTGTAACAGCAATATCATTGATTAGTTACATCCCGCCATATCGTAAAGAGTCGTAAGCATACAAAACGTTCTGCCCCACAGACATAGATGAATGAGGTCATCACCCGACCACCATGATTGCTGATCAGATACACCACCCTTACTCCTTTGGTAATGTTAGGCTCTCTTACGTCTGTGGTATGTTTTAATTAATTTTCTAGTCTGAGCTCTATTTTCAGAACTCTGTTGGGATACTGGTGCAATGTTACAAGTAAGCCGGACAGCCTAAGCTTCTGTATATTTGAGTATATATCCATATGGTCACTCACGCAGATGTTAATTTAACTAATAGAAAAAATTGTAAGATACAGGTCAGTTGATGGGTAGTTTAAAGATGAGAATGATAAGCAGCTGACGAAAGAACTGGAAGAGAAGTAGTGCTAAATATTCATGAGTAGGAGGTTAAGTAAGCAAGAAAGCAAGGTATTTGAATGGTAATACATATATATAAAAAATTATTAAACTGTTTGAGTATGAACAAGAAGGATAGATTGAGTTTCCAGTGATTTACAGTAGTTGAGTAGGATCTACTGGTTTTTAATTTATCTGTCTACTAGAAACAAAGACAAAAAGTGCCAAGTAAGATAAGAAAGAGATGATGCGACTTTAGATATGAAGGAAACTCCGAATGTTAGCATAGCAGCATGACCCACTACTGTCAGTAGAAGTAGAAAAATGATGTGTCTATCAGTTGATGATAATATCATGTATGGCGATGATCGAACTGTTAAGGGAGAAATGAAGACATTTGGCTGATTAAAGCTATGATAATAATAAGTATTATTTTTAAGTATCAAGAACTACGAGATGAGCACAAACGAATGTACTGTATTTAGAATTCGAAATCAAGCATTCAACAACAACAAGAAGTCACTAGTTCATTCAAACACCACAACCGCCACAGCTTAAATTGGAATGCAAGTGTCTGTAATCAATTGTACGTCTTCTTCTCAAATTCATCCTGTGTCTGTCCGACAGTGTATTGGATAAAGACTCTGTATTATCTAGAATGCTCTCATTAGTATTAG